ACTTGCCACTGTCTGTGTGGAGTATGATGTCATTTGGGGTGGAAGGCAAAGTTTTATGGTCACGTGTGGTGAGGTAGTGGGGGTTTTCCAGTTGTTTTAGGATGAAGTTGCATGTCAAATCTCAAAGGAAAGGGAATTGTGTTGCTTTCTTTGGTGTCTGGATATTTCCATGGGATGGGGTGGTTTTGGCAAGGGCTTTTCTTCCTAGCCTTGCTCCAGGACTTTTTCCTCCACATACCTGTACCCTTCTTTCTGTGTTTCTGCTTTTGCCTTTCTGTCTTCTGCCCCTTTCCCGATCCCCCAGGCCATGGGCTCCCAGGGGAACCTCTCAGCTGAGGTGGAGCAGGCTACGAGACGCCAGGTACAGGGCATGCAGAGCTCCCAGCAGAGAAACCGTGAACGCGTCCTGGCCCAACTTCTTGGCATGGTCTGTGACGTCAGGCCCCAGGTCCACCCCAACTACCGGATTGCTGCCTAGAATTCACCATAGGACCTGACTGTTCCCTTCCAGTTCCCTTCCTCAAAGAAACCCCCCAAACAAAATTACCACCTGCCATCTTCACTGCTTCTTTCCTATTTTCTCTCCTTTCCATTCCCTAGAAATTCTAGGGGCAAGATCCAATAACTCTGTGAAAAGTACCCTGCTCAGATCTGAGTCTCCTTACTGTTCTTTAACCTTCACTGGGACCTTGTAAACTCCCAAGTCACTCTCACCGAAACCCTCTGTGAAATTTGTAGCATGGATAAGTAGGGATGTGGAAAAAACACTTTGACTTCAGAGCCTGGAAGCCTTGGGTTCCTTTCCCAACCCTGCCACTTTCTGGCTGTGCACCTAGGACAGCTACTTAATCTGTAGTCCAGTGTCCTCCTTTGCAAGACTGGCATGATGCTGATGGTGATAATAACAGTAATACCTACCTTACGGGACTGCTGCAATGATTAGGAATCACTCTGTAAAGAGCCTAGCATGGTTTTTGGCATGTAGTTGCTGTGATTCCATAAATGTCCGCCCTATGATATTATTACCACCCGTTGCCCACCGTCAAAACCAAAACACAACTGTTTCCTCACATTTGTCAATGGCTGTCTAAATCACTCACTCATTCTGTGAACCTAGTAATTTTTCTGAAGAATTGGTTCTTCCCACCTCTCTTTTCCCAGAGACTTTATGGTCCCTGAAAAGGAAATGAAGACCTCGTTTAGCCTCTCTACTGTGGTTCCAGGAAGATGTTGCATTTTGTAGTCTCTCTTTTTGTCTCTAAATTGGTCTTTCTTTTTATTGGATTTTTCCCTTTCCTTTTCCGATTTCCCCAAAGACCCATCAGATGCTCACTGCTTCCTGAGATGTAAAGTGATGCTGTGTTCCTTTGTATGCATGGCCTCCCTTTCTACATCCTTAACATCCTTTCCTTTGTAACAATAAGAAAGTGTCAATAATAATAATAAAAATAAAACCTATGGGCAAATCAGTTGGTGTGTGGAAGCAGCTTCCTTTTTGCTTCATCATTTCTCACTTTCATTCACTCTCTTGTTCCTTATTTACATATTCCCCAAATACCCCAAAGCGCTGTCCTTTGAAGCTTGTTGGAGAAAATAAAAGCAACTAGTATGTTATTGTTTCTCTTAAATGAGGAACATATGTGGTTCCTCCTTGGGAATCCGAGAACTACAAATGGCAACTATAGAGAAAAGCTGGGGTGTATTAACAAGCACTCTTTGCTCCTTATTTTGCATTATTTTTCTTCATGGTACTTATTACTACTTGACATTTGTTTATATGTTGTCTTCCCTGGAATGTGAACTCTGATGACAGGGCTGTTCACCGAGTCCCCGGATCCTAGGTTAGCGGTTGGCACAGGGTAGGCAGCTGATAAATACTGTTGAATCAATTGATACTTAAAGTCGGAAACATCATCCTTGGATCACTGTTCCTTCTCTTGGCCGCAGAACAATGCCTACTTCACCAAAGACTTGAACCAATGAGGTAATCCATAGGGTAATTATTAACCGGACTCTTCAAGCAGAGAGGCAGGATACAATAGAGACTAAACGACGTTTAAACAGCTAGCTTTATTTTGGATCTGTTGCTTTGTTTGTTGTAGAATGGCAATAATGGTACCTATTCCTTACTGTTAAGTGGCTAACTGGTAACAGGTAAAGAGCCGAATGTTTGCTGTCATTTTTGTTGACATCACATCTGACTTTGGTAGCATATCAAAGACTGGGTTATCAAATGCTTCATTAAGGAAAAAATTCAAGCTCAACAATGGGGCTGCTGGAGGCGGGGCTAAAGACATTCTGGTCGAATTAACAATATTTATATAATGTTGCCTAACCCTCAAGCCCCACCACTTTTTTAAAACCTGAGGCAGAATCCACTCAGTGGATTTAGAACACCTTCCAGACTCGAATTTCCTGTCCCATAGCCTCAGGGCCCTTGGGGCATCAACTACATCGGCCAACATTTTGGGCAAGGGGAAAGGGTAGGACCCCTACGCGCGGCTCAGACTCATTCCTCCCCTCAACTGAGGTCCCACGTTCTCTAGCTCCAACGCTGACGCACCCGGGTCACCTTGACTACCAGGCCAAGGACCCCGTGGGAACTCTCAGTCCCCGCCACCCTTTTTCCACCGAGCGGTGAGCCTACGGAGGGGTGCCCGGAGAGAAGACCTGCCCGACAACAACCTAAAGGAAGAGGTGAAGTATATGGAATAGAATAGGGCACGAGAAAATATATAACAGTAGGAGAGGATGCCAGTTTCCTTTATGCCCTTTGTTACTTGCAGTAGCGGAGGAGTTAGAAGTGGCTTTAAAAATTTTTTTCACACAGGCATTTTCTAAAGGCAACCCCGGAGCGCGCAGAACTATGGGATCGTGAAAGGGTCGCCTTCCGGTCCCTTGCGCCTGCGCGCTGGCAGCCGAGAAGGCGGGAGGCCCTGGTAAGAGGGAAGCCGAGAACCGGAAGTGAAGGCAGATTCCCTCCTTCGTCGCTGTTGCCGCCGCCATATGCGCTCGCCTTGCTCAGGTAAGCTTTGGCCTTCTTTATCATCCACTTCCATCTGCGTTTCTCTGCAGCCATTCTGCCTCGTGGACTCCTGATACCCCTTCCACAGACTATGGTCTGGTCCCTGGGGCCTAGATGGGTCGTTATTTCCATTGCTTGCATCCCTTTTGAGAGCTCTTAAGAGTTCCGGGGGGGGGGG